GAGAGTCTTTGCTAGATTTTGGCATTTAGCAACTGGCATACGGTTGAATGTGAAGTCAACAACAACAACAACGGGTTCGAATCCCGGCTACTCACCTTCCCAAGCACCATTATGATCTTTTCAGTCATCGCCTGGCGAGGGGTCCGGCCCCGGAGATCCCTGCTCGCAATCCCAAGCTCTAGACCCAAGTGATCCAGCCGGGTGCTAACGAGCTGAGCGTATATCTTTTGTAAGATAAAGTTACACCATTAGGCTAGTCATGTATATCTTTTGTAAGATAAAGTTACACCATTAGGCTAGTCATCGGTGACTGTGCACGTAGTCAAATGGTCAGCCTTTATCTAATACTGCTCATCCTTGTACACCTGCCCAGACACTACCGGAAACTGCTTCAACATGGAGACTCGAACAGCTATCTGCACTTGCGCATCCGAAGGGTTGAACGCGTGGTACGAAACCATGACCGTCATGGCCAGAGCCTTACAGCGACGAATGTACACTCCGTAAGTCTCGCCGTTGGATACGCCAAAACTGCAAAGACGATCAACCCCCGAGCCCGTCTTGAGTGTCCCAGGCAGCCGCCAATTTCTGGATGAAGAAGGCGTACGTCGAGGCCCCTGCCGGTTCCTTGCGCAGATGGTTTTCCACCTGTAGGAAGGTGGCATCAAGAAATTCCAGCGTGGCACGGTTGGTGGTNACTCGAACAGCTATCTGCACTTGCGCATCCGAAGGGTTGAACGCGTGGTACGAAACCATGACCGTCATGGCCAGAGCCTTACAGCGACGAATGTACACTCCGTAAGTCTCGCCGTTGGATACGCCAAAACTGCAAAGACGATCAACCCCCGAGCCCGTCTTGAGTGTCCCAGGCAGCCGCCAATTTCTGGATGAAGAAGGCGTACGTCTAGGCCCCTGCCGGTTCCTTGCGCAGATGGTTTTCCACCTGTAGGAAGGTGGCATCAAGAAATTCCAGCGTGGCACGGTTGGTGGTTTGGCCTTCAACGACAGCAGCACGGACACGTTTCCGCAACAACGGAAGCCATCCCGTGACTCAGGTGGAGGAATTGAAAGTTTGCTTGCGCTTGACGTCGCTTTTGTTGAGGATCTCTGTGACCACACCCTTGCAGCTAGACGCGAAACGAGCAAATTCATCAGGATCAGGACCGAGGGGCAAGCGTGTGACACTATCAAGTTGTTCCAGCTTCAGCTTGTCCATCTTGTCTTGAATGCGGATGGTGTCGGCCTCCGTTGCAGCGGCGTTCGCAGCGTCCGGAGCCTCCTGCCTCGCTTTCGCTCCTGTGGAAGACGAAGGCAAACCACCATCGTCCTGTGGCAACGGTGATGCCGCTTGACCCGGTGGTTCGACTATGTGGCTGGTTGCAGAGCTAGGATCAATCAGAACAGACGCACGCTGGAGGGGGGGGGGGGCGATACCACCAAAGGCTGTTGCAACAGGGCTGGGGCTGCCGACGCTGACGGTGCCACCGCAGGTCCGACCGGTACTGTCGCCGACATCGTGGCTGATGACGATGATCCTGACGTGACCCTGCCACCGGTTTCGGCACGAACATCGCGCCCTACAGGAGCTCCTGAAAAGCTCGAAGCGTGGTCTTGCAGCGGTGTCAGATGCGTTCGTGGGGAAGAAGATGGGGCAGCTGGTGGCACGCTAGGAGCGTGGGAGGGCACAGGAGGTTGTACATTCGCGTCGGCAGCAGCATCCACTACTTGATTTGCTCGCAGGAGAGTGAGTACTTGTTCCAACAGCGTTTCAGTACGGGAAGCCGAAGTCGAGGCGTGTGATGCAGCATGGCGTGGTGACTCAACAGGTTCGTCCAAAGGCAAGGACGATGTGGGATGATCCACTCCGGCATGGGCAGGGTCAACTTTTCACAGCGGCTGAATGTTCACGAAGTTGCATGTTGGCAAGTTTGAACGCCAAAAGACATGGTCGGTTGGCCTACATCAGCGGGAGGGCGTAGAACAAGCGGTGAAGAACAGAGAGAACCGTCTTCTGAAGCATCCTTGTTTTCCCCCAACAATCGAGAGCTACGAACCACCCCGATCATGCATCACTTGCCTGTTACCGTGGCCTGACCTCCGTCCCCCTTTTTCGCCGCGACTGCTGTCAGTGCTAGTCGCCCTGCTGTTGCCCCCGCTCCGATTCTGGCTCCGGCTGCCGCTACGCCTAGACGAAGGCGTGTTTCTCCCACGACGGTCTCCGCTCCGGCTCCGCCCACGCCTAGACGGAGGATTGGTGCGCTGTTGACGTTCTGCGCTCCGACTCCTGCTCCGACGATGGCGACTCGCCCGCGAAGACCTGGTAGGCTGGTTCCCCACGGCTTGCCCTCGCGTGTTATCTCCGACGCCGCGCCCCCGCGAAGACTGGGTGTAGCGGCGGTGGTCGTCCGTCCCGCTCTTGGCCGTCGAATCTTGGTCACCCAAACGGTTCTTTCAGCTCTTAGACGCAGGAGCCGCCGACTGACTGTAATCCTTGTTCCCTCCAGAAACATGTGCATTGCGTGAAGAGGCCTGCCGGGGGGCTTGGAGATCGTGCTTGAAATCGTGGTTGGAGGCAGCACGAGCAAGGGGCAGCTGGAGTCCTCCATCTTCGGTCACCACCGACGTTCCTTGAGAACCGCTAAGAAAGGTGGCAGAACGGAGAGCGAACAAAAGCCGGAACACGGACTGCCGCGAAGAAGGCGGAAGTTTCGCGATGTAGGGGGCATGATAAATGTGCCCGAAAGCAACGGTGTGCAGTTGGGGAAATTGCGCATGGACGAGTTGTTTTACGCCAGCCCATGCAAAAGAGCTGCCAGTTTGTCCACATCGTGGAACGTTTTTTCTGCTGCAGGCATCTCCAGCGGGCGGGACAGGAACGCTGTATCGCCAACATGGAACTTGTAAACCGTGGTTGCGGCCGCAAACGATGCTCGGTCTTCAGCGCCGGCCGGAAGACCCAACGTCACCGAAAACTCCGGAGTCGCTGCCCTCTCCCGCTCCTTCCCGTTCGTCGGACTAGCCGCCACCTCACGCTCCTTCTCGTGCGGCGAGGCGGTACTACGGGAACCAAGGGGCACCTGGGATTGTGTTGGGGGAGGGACGATAATACGACGACGGGGGTAGGGGGAATGCAAAGCTGCTGCTCGCGGGTCCTGGTGGCGGGGCTCCAGGTCCTCCAGCCGCGATCGGAGCGCCCCCTGCTTCGCCCTAGCAGCTTGGAGATATGCCTCACGCTCCGCCAGAGCAGCCGCACGCTCCCCCTCCTGCTTCCTCGCAGCAGCAGCTCGAGCAGCCTCACGCTCCTCCGCCTGCTTCCTCGCAGCAGCAGCCCGGGCAGCCTNCCGTTCGTCGGACTAGCCGCCACCTCACGCTCCTTCTCGTGCGGCGAGGCGGTACTACGGGAACCAAGGGGCACCTGGGATTGTGTTGGGGGAGGGACGATAATACGACGACGGGGGTAGGGGGAATGCAAAGCTGCTGCTCGCGGGTCCTGGTGGCGGGGCTCCAGGTCCTCCAGCCGCGATCGGAGCGCCCCCTGCTTCGCCCTAGCAGCTTGGAGATATGCCTCACGCTCCGCCAGAGCAGCCGCACGCTCCCCCTCCTGCTTCCTCGCAGCAGCAGCTCGAGCAGCCTCACGCTCCTCCGCCTGCTTCCTCGCAGCAGCAGCCCGGGCAGCCTCCCGCTCCTCCGCCTACTTTTTCGCAGCAGCAGCCCGAGCAGCCTCACCCTCCTCCTCCTGCTCTGCGTCCTCGCGCTCCGCCTTCTCCCGTGCTTCCGCGTCTGCGACAATTCTGGCAAGACCGTTGCACCACGTCTCGTTCAACGCTTGATAGGCCATAAAGTCATCGTGGGGTAAGAGAAGCAATTTTTCTTCCGGGGGAAGCGAGAAAGGGGGAACGAAAGGGGGAAAATCAGACGACAGACGGGCCGCTACGATAATATCCTCCCGAGAGATACGTCCAGTGTTGTAGGCCCGCTCCAGTTACGCCGGATCTGCCGTGGCGATGTTGGCCAGCAAATTATCGACGGTGAACACGACGGGCATGAGGCGGCTCTCGTCTCCCGCACCGGCCGCTGGAAATTGCTCTGCGGTGGAAGCCTCGCCCTCAGCTTCGTAATCCAGGATTTCATCATTGCCGCTGGACATGTNAAGCAGAACCAAGAGCAGCAGAACCACTAAAGCCGGGTGCAACTTCGGGAAAAGCAAGCCGAGGTCCATGCGAAAGGCGGAGATATCNGAACAAAGACAGGGCCAGAGAGAGGGTAGCTACGATCGATTGTGGAAAGGGCAGCAGGGCCAGAAACAGAAGATGTAGGATAACCAACCGCAGTTGAGGAAGCAGAACCAAGAGCAGCAGAACCACTAAAGCCGGGTGCAACTTCGGGAAAAGCAAGCCGAGGTCCATGCGAAAGGCGGAGATATCCACAGGATAGTATACGCCCAGTGATAAAAGCTTGGTGCACACGAGGTCGAAGCAGATCCAACCAAGCAGAAAAAGAGTCCAAAAGCACACCATGCCATGCACAAACAGCAGTAGAAGCTAGCACAAAAGGGCCCGTGTTACATGGAGACACGAGGTTTTCCGACCAAAAGACACGCAGAACAGCACGGCGTTCCTCCGCAACTGGTGCCGAAGTGCGAGCAAAGACCGCTGTGGGTTTGCGCTGTTGAAAGGTTTCCAGTTCAAATGCTTTGAGGGTGAACGATTCCCCGAAAAAAAGTGCCATGTGATTTCGAAAAATGGAGGGAAGGCTAGTGGGGCGGCTGACACCCAATTTGTGTGCACACAACGCGTTCCAAGTCGAAGGAAGCGGAGTCAAATCGGAGAGCACAACAGGAAAATCCGCGGACATCGGCCGGTACGCCGGCATGAATACAGTAGAGGTGGTAGCAGACGTGGGAAGCATGCTGTCATCTCGGGTCCCACTACACAAAGCCAGCAACTCAGGACGCTCCATGCAGAGGGTATCCGCCACAGAAATAACTTCATGGACCGCCGATGCAGACAAAATAGCTTTCGAGAGACGGCGAACGTACGAAAAATCGCCCAAAACATCGCGATGGCCTCCGAGGCGCGTATCCTTTGCAAGGTCCCAGTCCCGCGCGCGCTTCGCAAAAGCATCACAAGCCAGCATATCTACAGGAGAGGAAGCAGAGAAGAGGCTAAGTCTAGATTATCGTGGGTGGTGAGACCAAATAACAAGCAACTCGGTGGTTGTGAAGAAAGCGTGGCAACAACACACAGCAGTGTGGAAGCCGCGTCCAGCACCCGCTTACCGTGTAATCCTGCCGCTGACGCCAAGTTTCAAGGAGTGAGGCCGTGGGCGGTGGCTTGCTCCTAGAGATACATGAAGGTTCTGTCGTTGACACGCTTGTCCACGACCACGTTGAGATGGGAAAGTCGCTTGTATTGCTGAGAGACGATCAACAAGGGTTTGAGATTAAGTGGGGGTCCAACTTCATCTCAGGGGGTACACAGAGTAGACAATTCTAAGGGGGTAGGAGTCAGAAGGGTATACCTCCTGACCGACCCGCATCCTATCAACAATAAGATGTACCCTATTCATGCTAGCAGCCACACTCCTTAACACTGATGTGTTCAATCGAAGGATCTTGCTAAATCGGAAAATTGTCAAAGTGTTTCGACACAACAAGCCTCCTTCCGCTGTTAAATCTGATTATCTTGGGTTCTGGCGAGACTGTCAGGAACGATCCTCAGAATGATGGCTTAAACCATCATATATTTCCTTATTTCGGAAGATTCCGGAGTCCGAAAGAGTCTAGTAGTTCTGAACAAGAGAAAAATATTTTCAGCACCCCACAGGTAATCTCTTTCGATGACTGCAGAGAGGACTTCAGTCCATCCCGCGCGGCCAGTACAACAATCCGTACAGCAGTGTACGGCTGCGAACTGAAATAAATATATCCGGTAAGACTGAAAAATGTTGTGACGAAGTAGCTTCCTCGACTTCAACAATGGCAACATGAATGGGAGCAGTGCCGAAATACTGTGGAGACGTCATGGGGTAGAGTAAGGGAGAGAAAATATATGGATTCGCGAGAATGCGAGCAGTGTCGACGAACAGCAGTCCTAACAATACGGTGTGTTTCATACTAGTAGTCCTCTCTGTGAGCCAACCTGATTGCCTCCCCCAACAAAATCCAAAGGCATTCATTTGCGGCATAATGTATTCACATGGACCGAAACTAGATGCGTACATGTGGGTCATCCGATAGCAACGAGGAGACGGCATCTACGTCCATAGGCTGTGACCTCTCTCCGTGTACCCCCCGACGATGCGTCCGTGTACAGTAGGTTTCCTACCTGTGCATCTCGGCGCCTTCCCTGGTCTTCGCCTACCTGCTGCTGCTCGTCTTCTTCTCGTTTTTTCTGCCTCTTCTTTCTGCATCCGTCGGTTGGAGGGGCACTTTATTTTTTAGACTGAATAATTCGGATGGGAACAGCACTTCCTTATCGTTGCGTTGACATCCGTGAAGTACGCACATATTGGAACAACCTTGGTCCATGTGTGCAGCTCAATTTTGTTTTGGAGGCTAGAGTCCATGTTCGTTCGGGTGTTGTTCCCACACCCCTCTCGCGTTCATGTTCCAATCTCCCGCAACTTTTTACCCATATTTATCATGCGCGCACCGTGTGTGTTTGTCCTGATCATCACCACATGCATACTTACCTACCGAATGCCACCAGAGAAACCAGTACGGACGGACACGTATCTCAGCTGTACCCTCTCGACAGAACGTCCTTGCTTTTCCAAGGACGGGATCAGGCGCCGCACGACCGCATGCGATATGTAGTTCAACAAAACTACAGTATGCATACAATACTCCGTTGTCACCACCGTGGGTGCTCGAACTGTATTACTATCGAAAATTCACCTCTCACGCGTTCGTGTAGTCTGCTGCAAGTAAGACTTGACTGGGCTGCTTTCTTTCTCACGCACACACTCTGCAGACTTATATCCGTCGTCGTGTGCAGATATCTACAGCAAGTATCTTCGTCATCTCTACCGTAGACTGAACATATCTTCGCCTTCGGTAGGATTCTTTTGGTTGCGGGACGTACGTATAGATTCGGGGTCGAACTCACTCGGCAGTGAAAACGTGTGCTCCAGTAGTGGGTCAGTCACAAGAGTCGAGTCTAGCGATACGTACGGGATCGTCTCACCGACAATACTCTCGCATGTGTGTTTTTCCGTGTAAGTATACCAGGAAAGACCACACACCCTGTCTCCCTGCCCACCTGCACCAGCAATATCGATACACGCGGCCGTATCGGTACGCAACATGCGTACGATCGATACACGCGTCTGGTTGACCATGTCGATACGCAACATGCGGGTGAGACGCGAGGCCGTAAACCGGCACCATACGCTCCAGCGTACCAGATCTGTATGTATTGTTTCTGTTCGTGCCATCCTACCGATTATCCCGTGCACGACGACCCACCCGTCGAGTGTACACAAGGTAACCGGTCAATGCAAGATTCAGTATGTTTCATAACGGCCGCCAGCCGCCCCGTAGCCGCACCAGGGACATACATGTCATACATCTTGCGTTCGGCTCCTGACAACCACGACTCGTCTCCATATGACACGCCATCATGGGTTACAATCAATTATCGTTACCCCTTCTCATCCGGTCTACATTGACTTCTGGAAAACCTCGTGGGAAAAAAATAATGTCCGTCAAGTGCACCGACATGAGAAGCAGTACCAACAATCGATAGCGGAGTTATTTGTGTGTGGACCGCGTTTTCGCAATCCATCACCCTTTCCTGCGCCGATTATTGCACCATAGTATCTGGCACCATGGAAAGAAACTTGTGTCTCGTCTTGCGATTGGGGATTTCCACAATCACACCATAGTTCTTGATATTATGGACACATAGTCCTTGTTACCTTTCTTGGCAGCGTACGCATACGCACGCGTTAAAGTTTGAAATTTCCCTGCTTGTCGGCGCAATTGGAAGATCTGCCACAATGCATTACACATGTGGCCTTGTGTCTGCCTTTTTTCGCATGGCGCTTCTGTCTCGCGTTGTTGTAAGATCCTCGGTCGCATGTTGCACACCTGGCTTGTAACCCGTGTACGTGAACTGCCAACGTCGAGGGAATCCTCGGCGTTTGCTCGTGCACACCAGCGCACGCAACCGCAGGAACATGATCAACAGGTTACATCGAGACTTCACGAGCAAACCCAACAACATCGTCCCATCACGTCTTGTTAAGACAGATACACCCATCGGTCAACTTCATACGGCACTTGGGTCCTTCCTTCTCATGTCTCCGGAACTTACGAAAAGGACGGTGTTTGCTATCACGCGCAATGACCGCTGTTTGTTAGATCCAGCTTTCGCTGTCGTGCTGTTGGGACGATACTTAACTCCACACACCGCACGTACCAAAGAGAGAGTCGATGCTCCTCCTGAAGCAACGTATCGGCTCCTCCCCCCGTCGTCCTTCTCGGTCCGCACCCCGCCGCCAAAGACGATAACACTAGCTCCCGGAAACAGAATTTCCTAGCAGGTAGCAGCTGGCCGTGTTGTCCACTCCGCCGTGCTTCTCGGTCTGCGCCCCGCAGCCAAAGACGACACCACTAGTTCCCGAAAACAGAATGTCCTAACAGGTAGCAGCTGGCCGTGTTGTCCACTCGTATGTCTAGCAATCCCTGTGCTCCTCCTAGCACTGCTGATGCTTCAATGTGATCGGGCGCAATAGGAATGTCCTGCGAGCAGCTGTCTTATCTCAGCACGCAGCCTCCTCTCTTACAAGCACGCAGACATCCTCTTCGCCATATAATATAAATGCCCTTCCCCATTTCAGACTCCTCCCCTTCGGTAGGATCCATCTGAAATTCTCGCTTTTTTTGCACGAAAACGTGCGACGTATACAGAGAAAAACATTTGTGGCACGCAGTTCGCTGATTGGCCAACGCCCCCTGCGGCGGAATTTAAAAAACAGCAAAAAAA